TTCACCTATACTAGAGTAAACATGTGATTAAGCGATTAATGATAACCACCGATCATTAAACAACTTTCCATATTGTCATATTCACTATAACTCGCCCAAGTGTTCCATAAACATTTACTACGATGAAGTCACTCAAGTCAAGTGCTCACTATCCAGAGCGATGGCGATTCGAATCGATTCCTAACCACCGTGGTGATTTATTCCTTACACAAATCTCACTCACCCGCTAAAGTGAGATATTGATCACCGAGTCAACTTTCCGTGTATCTCGAGTTTGCCAGAACCACATGTACCGGGGCCGACCGACCGCACTTTGGTCTTATCATCCCGCCCGCCCCGTGTCCTACCACACACGCTTGCCGCACAAGGCGTCATGGGCAATCTACTCGCCGAAAAATCTCCCACCAGCGGTCGGAAGGTACTTTATCCGCCACTAAATGTAAGGCATGCGTTCAACATGACTCGAGGCCCAACAACGGTCGGTCCTTAATCGATACGACGGAAACACTACAGTCCAAAACCCCGCAAGTCTCCGCCCGGTCTCAACTTCATTTAACACTTAGTTATACCATGACTTCATAGTCATCCAAACAGATCCGTGTAACCACCTATAGCTCGCAGTGATGTGAAATCACCCGACTTCTACCGGTCTAAGCCACTAAGCATTGACTCGATCATGGATACCGTGGTAACAAGGATATAGTATAACAAAGGTAAACAAGGTATAATGCAAAGAACGGTTGCAAACAACTCCCCGAACGTAATGCATCAATTTAAAGTAAAGCATTTAACGAAATCATTGCAAACCGGAGAAAGATGCTCCGGGGCTTGCCTCTCTCAAGGAGCTTTGACGGTGATCGGGCACTCCGGAAGTTCTTCAACGCCCTCCTCGCTCGGCTTCCGGCACTTCTGCGGCCGCACTCTCGAACCGCTCCTCGGGCTCCTCGGGGATGACGACCGGGTTCTCGGTTTGCGATCCGTATGATGCAATGCGTGTAAGTGCCTATGCAATCGGTGCATCGAAGGAGATGAATGCGATGAACATGTTGAAAGGCAAGGTAGACAACATCATCCAAGAAACTATGCTACAAGCACATGTCATCTATCTGATTCTCTTCTACTACTAATATGTCAAGTTAACCTATCTTGTGAAATGCTTCAAAGATACACCAAAACTTTACTAATTTCTTAATCACACTTAGGGCAACACTTGCTTATACCTTAATTAATAATAGGTTTGAATAGCAACCTATATTTCTGATGCTCCTAAAAATCTGAGAAAATTACAGTAGCATACTACTACCCTAAACAGACTACCATAAAAATTTCATGGCATTTGGATAAGTAAACTATCCTACACAAAAATGACAAGCTATAGCCTAAAAATGAGCATGAAATTACTTTGTACGATGAAAAGTGTCAAACAACAGAATTAATATTTTTCCTAGGTTCTTCATGGTATATAATGACTGTACAAAAATTATCACATGCATGTTTTATACAAAGTTTGCTCTCTAGCAAAAATAACAAAAATCAGCCATTTAAGGTACTTGAACTACACCTCTAAAGTTTTCCACAGCACATGCATGAAATATATTTTTCCTAGGAAGTACATGACATAAGAAGATTAACAAACTTGGAATCATATTTTTCTGAAGCCTAGATATTTTTCTACATATTTTTCAAGTTATCAGCAATATTCGAGATTAAATAAAATCCTATAGAAAAGTATATCAAAAATGACATGCACTATTTTTCTCAAGTAGATCTGGTGATAAGGAACCTAGAAAATTTTGTTTCAACAAATTTGGAACAAGTTTGATCATCCAAACATTTTTCAAACCATTTTTGATTTCAAATAACAAATAATAAAGGAAATCAATTCACTTTAAATAATACTGGGCCGCCCCTGGAAACAGCTGGCCCACGGCCATCACCGCCCTCTTGCGGCCCAAGCGCGAGGGAGGGGGAGTCGGCCTGGCTCGGGGCTCGCCCACGGGCCCACTTGGCCCGGCTTACTGGGTGAGGCGTGGTATGCCTTGGCGCTTCTTGTTGGCTGTGTGTGGCTGCTCGCCACGAGGCCGGCGGCCATCTCCGGCCGAGGCAAAGGCGGGCTAGCGGGCGATGCGATGCGCGAGAAGATGGTGAGGCGGTAGGGTAGCTAGGCGGGGCTGGAGAAGAGGAGGAAGGCGACTTCCATGGCGGCCGAGCACGGCGACGCGCGGGCCGGGCCGCCGATGATGGATAGATCGAGGAGGCGGCTCTACCTGAGCTCTAAGGCGGCGCGCAAATGCGAGCACTGCTTGAAGGAGGGCGAGGCGGAGCTGCTGGGCGCGGGATTACCTACCGAGGTGGGGAAGCTGCATGGCTCATTCGGCGTGGCGTGTGGGCGTGGAGAGGCAAGAGCTTGGGGCTCTCGGCTTTGGCGAAGAGGGAAGGCAGCGCGGGGGAAAGTGGGCGAGCTCACCGGCACCAGCAGGTGTAGGCGGGCGCGTGGACGCGGGCGCAGTCGTCGTGTCGTCACAGGGGGCGTATGCGATGCGTTGGCCAATGCAGGCGGCCACGCTGGCGGGCGAAGCTCTGCCTGGTCCGGCTGGCCTTGCATGTGGCGAATGGCAAAGGCATGAGGCAAAGGCAGGCGGGCGCTGTGGTCGGGCTGGGCTGAAGCGAGAAGAGGAAGAAGGGCGCTGGAGGCTCATTGGGCGGGCATGCGGGCTGGGCGGAAGGAGGAGGCGTGACCAAAAAAGTAAAAACACTCTTTTAATTTCCAATTTCAATAAATTTTTAAATACAGTTTTCAAATATTATTTTGAGCAAGAAAATGACCTCTTTGAAAATGTACCAAAAAATGAAAGTTGCTTAGAATTTAATTCCTACAACTTTGCTTTTATGACCACAACCAAATTCTTTCTAGATTTTGAATTGGAAGATCAAAGTCCACGTTTAGCTCAAAACCCTAATTTTTGAATTTATTCTTGAAGCCAAATTTTGAATTAATTTGAATACAAACATTGCTCCAAAAATTGAACTAAACATTGCTAGATGATTTACAATAGCAGCCAAACATGTTCTACTAACCTAGCAAGCAAGAATCGAGCAAAACAACTCTAATAAGTGTATGCATCATTTACGTTTCACAAACATGTTTCAGTATGTTTCAAGTAATGTTTCAGATTATTATATGCAAGATTATGCATGTATGATTAGGATGCTTGATGATGCATGATATGCGTGATTTTGCAAAGGTGCCTAAATGTAGGCATAACACGGGGTGTTACAGATGCCACCGCCATTTGAGCACAAGTCTTGGGGGCAACACGCGGCGGGCGATTGCAAAGACCGTTCGAAAGGCCCCGCCTTTGACACCGTGCTCCCACACGCCGCCACGGCCCACGGCGCCCGCACGACCTCAACATCTCCATCTCGACGTGGGACCAAGTGGTGTCGGGCGCCGGCGTCTTTGATCTTGTTGACGCTCCGGCTGCTGGTCCCACTGACGCCGTGCAAAGACGCGATGGTTGTGGTCCCTGAGCCTCCTCTATGGGGAGGAGGCACACCGCACGGCCAGGCGATGGCGGCCACTCTGGCGGCGCTGGTGGCCCTCCGCGCCGCCGCCGCCAGGCTAACACACGCACGCCGCCAGGACGACCTCGGTCGCGCCTTGGCCTGGGCACCGTGCATGCGCTCTTCTGTCTCACGAATCGCTGGCAAGGCGCCGCTGTCGCTCTCCGCACGCCAAGAAGCCGCTGGGCGCTCTCCGCCGCTTCTCCGCTCCATTAGTCGCCAGAAGCGAAAGCCGCGCCGCTCCGCCACAGACCAAGCCGCTTGTTGGCGGGCTCATTCTAACGGAGGAGGCGGCGTGACCCTGGCTCCAACGGTGGACGTGGCCTCGTCGGGGTCACTAGCGTCTCGGGTGGAGATGGGTGGTGTCACCATGGACTGCACGAGCTCCTCCCCTTCCTCAGTGTGTGGTGATGGCCGGAGGTTGAGGAAGAATCTGACTTATGGGGGCCGTGTGTCCGTAATGGGGGAGGGAGAAGCCAGGGGTAGAGGTGGTCATTTTACCTGAGGATGTTGACTCGGATCCAAGCAAGCTGGACAGCGGAGCTGGCGTGCCACGCGAGCACAAGTGATAAATGTGTATCGTTTTTTTCTCTCTGATATTAAAAACATAGCGTCAAATCTAAAGATGCTATCTAAGGAGGCGCTATTGATAATAATGATAAAAAATTAAATATTTTTTTTTTTGCGAGGAGGGGAGAGTGATGGGATATTTTTGTGGGCTACGACCAGAAGGGAATTTGTGCCCGTGGGATTTTTGGGCGACGTGGCCTGCTCCTGTGCAGGGGAGGCAATTCGGGCGACCTGGCTCGACCTAAGAATTTGGGGTGACGTGTCATAGCTGAGCTGTTGGGGAGAAAAATCGTATTGAAGAATTTGGGATGACATATCGTAGCTGAGCTGCTGGGGAGGAACATCGTATTGAAGAGGTTATTATTATTATTATTATTATTATTATTATTATTATTATTATTGTGCTGTACCATACAACTTTACATTCTTGTTTGTGTGTGTCGGACTTTCCAGTTAATAATCTGGAGGGTTGTTAGCGATAACGAGTCGCGTTGTGAGTATAGTTCCATATTCCATATATATGATTATATGGTATTTTTCTTTCACACCAAACCAGCCAATAGTCCTTCTTTACGATCCAGCGACGAACGAGCCCAGCAAACGAACAGACCTTCCTGACTAGAGCTTATTCTCCAAAAAGTTTCAAGGTTCGTGCGCAAAGAGATTTTTTACCAATTTTAGAGGAATTGGTCTGGTCCGTTGCAATACATTGTTTCTGAATACGTTCGTGAATAATATAGCAAAATAAGCAAAAAATCACCGATATCCTTGAGAAAGGGGATAAAATGCATTGTTATTCAGCAAAGCAACACTAAGCAGCACACCGGCGGCCCGTCCTAGTGCTTGAGATGTGGCGGTTCTCCTGTCTAGCCTTGCAGCTCCAGGCGTCGCAGGCGCTCCACCTCCCTGCCGATGATGCCGCAGCGCACCATACTAGCCACCGTCCGCCACAGCAGCCGGAGGTCGCCCCACGGCTCGCCGGGCACCATCCGCTTGTACAGGTAGCTTTCGAAGGTCCGCCGCTGCACGTACTCGTCGGCGCACATCTCCACCAGCGCCTCACGGCCGGCGTTCCCGCCGTAGAACATGCGCTGCAACAGGTCCAGGAACCGGAACATGAGCAGGAACTCGTCGTCCCAGCGCCGCAGGTAGCCGCGCCTCAGCCCGGCCTCCGTCACGGCGCCCGTGCGCGCCCACTCCTCCGCCATGGCCTGCCCGCACAGCCGCCCCGACTTGGCCGCGAAGTAGATGCCCTCGCCGGAGCAGCGCGTGACGTACCCCGCCGCGTCGCCGACCAGGGCCACGCGCCCCACGACGCGGCGCGGGCGCGGGTGCTCCGGGATCGGGTGCGCCTCCACCTTGACGACGCGGCCGCCGGCGATCTTGGGGCCCGCGCGCGCCCGGATGCCGGACTGGAGGCGCTTGATCTCCGGCTTGGCGGCGACGGTGCCGGTCCCGACGGCGACGTGGTCGCACTTGGGGAACACCCAGCCGTAGAAGTCCGGGGACACGTCCCCGCCCACGTACATCTCGGCGAGGTCGTCGTAGTACGCCATGGCGGCGTCGGGGAGGCGGATGCGCTCCTGGAACGCGATGGCCGTCGTGTAGTCCCCGGCCCCGACCTCGCGCGCCACGCGGCTGTTGGCGCCGTCCGCGCCGACGACGGCGTCCACCTCCAGCACGCCCCGCCCCGCGCCCTTTGGGTCTGAGGAGGACGAGATGTAGTGGACGAGGTAGGGGTCGGCGGGCCCCGCGGGGAGCGAGAGCGAGGTGACGAGGCCCGGGACGAGCTCGGCCCCGGCCTCGGCGGCGCGGCGGCGGAGGAAGGAGTCGAGCACCTCGCGGCGGAGCATGGGGATGTGCGCCCCGGGGGGCAGCGCGCGGGAGAAGTCGGCGGCGAGGTTAGAGGGGGAGACCACGCGCATCCGGGTCACGCGGCGGTCCACGAGGTCCCGCGGGATGGCGAACTCGTCGAGCATGCACAGCGGGATGGCGCCACCGCAGGGCTTGGCGCCCGCGGGGCTGCGCTCGAGGAGGAACGTCCGGGTCCCCGCCGAGGCCAGCGCCTCGGCGGCCGACGCGCCCGCGGGGCCACCCCCCACTACGGCCACGCGCAGCGGGCGGGCTGACGGCGACGAGGAGGTGGTGGTGGTGGCTGAGCAGGAGATGACGATGCGCGCTGGGGAGTAGCAGCCGGCGGCGGCCATGGTTGTCTGCTGTGGTTTGGGCCAATCCGGGGATTCACGAATGGGCTTGGAGATTGCCTTCTCGGCGAGTGGAGCACTAGCTAGTTTATTGAAGTCTCTAGAGCTTGGAGTCTAGCTGCGGCCTGCGGGCGCGGTGTGACACTGTCGGAACTCGGAACTGAGGACAAGCCGGCCAGCTGCCTTCGCTGGGCTGATAAGCCTTCTCAAAAGACTGGCAGCTGATTTGGCGTCAGAGAAAAATAATATTTATAAATAAAAAAAAAAAGCTTATAAGCCGACTCGAAGCATTACTTGTTGACCGTTGAATCCAAAATGGACACCTGCAGATCGCTTTCCTTTCCTCCCTCCCTCTGGACTACCTGCCACCGAGAGCGTCCATGTTGAGTGAAAAAAAGAAACTCTGGCCATATAAGGTCCCGTTTAGATGCGAAATTTTTTTACTTTTGGCTACCGTAGCACTTTCGTTTGTATTTGATAAAAAATGTCCAATTATGGACTATTTAGGCTTAAAAGATTCGTCTCGTCAATTACGGACAAGCTGTGCAATTAGTTATTCTTTTTACCTATATTTAATGCTCCATGCATGTGCCACAAGATTTGATATGACAGGGAATCTTGAAAATTTTTGAATTTTGATAGGATCTAAACAGGGCCTAAGTCAATAACAACCATAATGCTCCAGCGAATTGACGTCCGGAACTGAGGGACGCATCACTCTTCTTACCCCCACATCAGTCCTTCGCTTTCTCTTTCCTTTCGCGCTCGCGCCCCGTGACTACCCGACGCGTGGCCATGGCTGCCTCCCTGGTCGTCGACGGCGCGCTCCCCCACCCCAGCGGCCTCCACCCCCACCCCGGCGTCCTCACCCACCGGGAGCGTCCAATGCCCACGGATTCGGTGGCCCTCTCTCCCATCCGACGAGATTCAAACAAGTTGCTGACTCTCCCCTACCTCGGCCGTCGGCGTGCCCTCCCTAGATCCGGCAGCGTCTCCTCTTCCTCAGCCGACAATGGGCATGGCGGACGTGCGGGCGCGCACCATCCAGCGAGTCTGCGCCACCGTAGTTACCCATCAGATAGGTCATGACCGCGCGGTGATGCTGTGTTTCAAGTGTTTCTGGACGCTTTTTAGACATGTTGCAAGCCCATGTTTCAAGTGTTTTAATTACTTCAGATGTATGTTTCAATTGTTTAATGAGGATGTTGCAAAAGTAAATCAGAATGTTGCATATGTTGCAATGGTTGTACACGTATGTTGCAAAGCGTCTATGCCCAATGTTTCATCATTTTTTTTTATATATGTATATTGCAAACGTCTATCCCCAATGTTTCATATTTTTTTACACGTATATTGCAAGTGTTTTAGACGCATGTCCCAAGTGTTTCATCTGTCTTCTTTTTTATGTCGCAAATGTTGCATCTGGATGTTTTCAAAAATAGATCGAGATATTGCACATGTTGCAATGGTGTTTCAACTTTATGTTCTAAATATTTCATTTGTTTTAGACGTATGTTGCAAAGGTTTCATTTAGATGTTGTAAAAGTAGATCGGAGTATTACATGACGCGACCGGTGGCTGTCGCTATGGGTTATAACTAATATCACTAGATAAATTATTAAATATATTTTCATAATAAACTTATTTAATGATATAAATATTGTTAATTTTTTTCTATAAACATAATCAACTTAAGAAAGATTGTGCAGCACAAACCCCCATAGCGACACTCTTTTTAGGGATGGAGTAGAAAGCACGCACATGGTATTTTCAGAAGCAGAAAACTAAACAGAAGAAAGCTTCAAAACTCAATGTTACGCTATAAAACGCTGGAAAGTCGATAAACATCTGCTGTGTTCCTCTCGCCACAGGTTAGGCGTTCCAACGGACAACAACACACGAATTTAGACTACTACTCTGCGAGGTGTTTTCAGCTGCACAGGTCACGGTCACCTTCAACTGAAAGGATTGCTAGGCACAGTCCACATGGTTTCTTTTCTTTTATCATCACAGTCCACATGATTTCAATGTCAAACATACTGGCCCATATGACAATTTGCAAGTCAGGTAAGCACAATGGCTAATGGAGTGTCCAGCTCCCAACCTCATTGAAGCACCATAGCTTTTTCCTTGCCACCTCTGTCAGTAGCAACAGCATATAACATGTAAACATAACGAAGGCAATGGCTGTCTCGTGGCGTCTGAACTTAACTGGATGGCACATAAAGAATGGTACCTCAAAAGCCAAATCCCTCATGATGCTTGCGAGATGGTTCCAGTGTTGTCATCCATGGGCATTCCCCTGTTAACAAGTATTTTATCACGATTCATATGCAGAGACATGGCAAGGGCCGGGGAGGGGAAGGAGGGAGAGAGTGCACGTACAGTTCTTTTGCTTCAAGTTTCAGCTGATCAATCTGATTCTGCAGGTCAACACAGGCAGCCTGAATAGCTATATTTTTTTGACACAGCTCCTGCCATTCCACTGTCAGGGCATGCAGCTGTCCTCCAGTATTTTGCTGATCAAAAAACAAATTATGAGCTGCCTGTGAAATATTATCATGACTCAAACTCCCAATAAAGAGATCAATGCTTATAACCTGGTGGAACTTCCTCTCGCGATTGACATTTTCTATCCTTTCATTGTATTCTACAGCCATCTTTTGCATCCTGCATATAAGATGGAAGATCAATGTCTCAAATCCATATAAGTTTGACACTGATTGGTACTATTTTAAACCTATAAAGCATGTAGATTGCTTCAGTGGACATCTAAGCTGGCACTATCGCTGACATTACACATAAGACCAACAAAATATGATATAGATAGATATACATCATTTTTTGTTGCTTCCCAAGAACTGATAGTACAGTCCGTAAACCAAACTAAGGGCGCGTTTGGTGCGGCTCCTCGCAAGTGCTCTGCAGACAGAGCTGGAGCCCCAGAAACCAGATTCGCCTCCGTACGTGCAAAATGGCTCCAGTTCCTCTCCCACAGGTGCAGAAGTGCTTCTCCTATCCTGGCCGTTTGGTGCAGCTCCTCTGGCTCTGATGCCAAAGTTGCCGGTGGAACCAAAGCCATCATGGCACCAAACAGGCTCTAAGTTTTAAATGAAAGGCAAAGAAAAAAGAGATACGACATTGTCAAGGACCACATGGACATGAACTTACCTAGACAGAACTGATTCCATTTGTTTGTTCTGGAGCTTCCAAACATCTACACCATATTTCAGCATAAGCTCGAGATTTTCTATCCTGCAATACTAGCACTGTTTCAAAACATATTTTTCAAAGCAAGGCACCACCAAATTTCCATTTATCATAAACAGGAAAACAGATAAAAGTTTGTTTGGCAATAGAGCAACAGTAATGACTATTCCTTCTATTCATCACTTTTACATGGCATGAGAGTTTCAAGATTTGAACTTTGAATACATTTACTAAAACTAACATGCTGGTTTAATGAAAAAAATAAGGTACTCTTAGATTTATAATATTGTGATTGTTATTTCATAATTATCACTTATCAACTATATATATTACAGAAATGAATGGTCAAATTCAAAATTAGCCTCACAGAAATCATTGAAGAGAGTATTAAAAACATAGGCCACCGTGAACTTGTGACCCTTTATTAAATGGGGTAGAAAAATGCAACCATGATAGAGATAAAGGGCCTGTTTTTTTGGGTGGCTAACCCCCCAACCAGGCTCCAGGAAGCCACGTTTACATTGTTTGGTTGGCTGGTTAGGCCTCTTAGCCTGGCCCGGTGTAAGCACCGACCAGCCCAAGCCTGGCTAGCTGGGCACGAAGATGGTGGCCGTTTCCCACTAGCCATCTTGGCTAGTGCATCCGGTCCTCCGCTCACCTCCCTCCTCGCTCTCGTCCGCCTCTGCAAACCCGCACCCGCCGCCACGCTCCCCACCGCGGGCCGCCCCTACCTCTTCCCTTCGTATGTGGCCGTCGCCGACGCCGGCGACCCCCAGTCGCGAGCCCCTGGATCTCGTGCGCCCCTGCGTCACTGCCCCTGCTCGTACCTCTTCCCTCCCTTGCCGTGACCCAAGTCGGGCCCTGCACCTCCACCGAATCCGGCTGTGCCCGCACCTTCGCCGGATCCTGCCGGCCCCGCGGCTCCGCCATATCCCGCAGGGTGCTGCGCCTCCGCCGGATCCCGCCGACTGCTCGAGCACGCGACTCCTCTCCGCATCGTCCTCCTCCCCAACTGCTCAAGCGCGCGAGATGCTGGCCGCGAGCCGCAGTTCCATCCCCGCTGCGGCGCTGCCGGACATGGTGCCGCTGGTGGTTGATGGGGGTAAGTCCACCTCCATTCTTGTGCAAGGTGATTCTATCATCATAGCCAAGACCAACCAAACAACCTAAGGTTGCATTGCTGAAGCCTGTCTTAGGCTGCCCTAGCTTAAAATGTAAGCCAGGCTAGCTTTAGGAAGACAACCAAACAGGCCCAAAGTTCATTACTCAGTATGCATCAGTTTTTATGCATTTCTTTGGTGGAGAAGCAAGGGCACTATTCTGACTACGGCAGGTCAAGAATGGTTATGGCAGCTTATCAGTACATGCTTTAGAGTTCAGAAGAACTTCTCACATAATTCTACACAATACTGCAAGGCATTCATGATTATTACAAGCTATAAACTTGTAGCTGTTAAAAAAATGTTTTCCTTAGTTTCTACATAGACACACAGTTCTGCAAATAGGCGTCTATAATTCTATATTATAGAATATGAATACATAACCCTTGATTCCCCAAAAGTAATACCCTGACTTACCTTATAATTTGATGCTGCAATTGGCTCTGAGCATTCCGTAGAGCCTGCCTCCAAGCACCAACATCATTCCTCTTGTTCATTGGAGGTGGCTCCAAACCATAGCGAGACATATCTAGCATAAAAGGAGGTTTGCCAGCCCTAACTCGTTCATATTCTTTAGCAAGCATAGGATGATTCTGAAACAAAAATGATAGCATACTTTATGTTAATAATTGCATCACACATAGATTTTGCAAACAGTCAAAACTTGCAAACATCTTGATTCACATCACGGTTCCGGTTTTGATATGAAACAATAGTTAAAACAATTATATCTGAAATATCTATGGAATCAAGATACATGAAAAAGAAGATAGTAGCATCACAAGGTCAAAGTTTAATAGCTGTGCTTACTAAACAGTACAGAATATTTTCTGTTAAAAACTTCAGAAACAAACTTAGAAAATCTTCCAAGTCATGTTTTAATATTGAATTTCAATTAGAGATGCATAGTTCATCATAAATGGTCGATGTTTGATCCTCAGACCTCAGTGTCATGACCAAATGAGGTGTAACCTCAAATCCATCAGAAGTAAACATCAATCCATCTAACTAATAAAAGCATAAGCAGGTCCTTTTTCTGAGCATTCTGCCTTTATCTGAGCCTGAAGTAAACATCCAGTACAAAAATCCTTGATTTGTACAGGATGTCCATCTGAAGTACTGTAATAAAACAGTGCATTTTAAGCTGGGGTATAATGCTCTTGTAGTCTGTCTTTTAAATGGTTCGAAAGGCAGAATGCACTGTAAATGGTTCACAGGTAAAATGTAAAGGGGTTATCAACTAAAACTTCAATTTCATATGCAACAGTTCTAAAGTCTAAACAATGCAAAGAACCCAAACAAGTTAATTCACTTGACCTCCACAAAATCTAAACAACGGAAACATATATATTAATAATTCATCCAGCTAAGTTAGTTCACTGTGACCTCTACAACTGCAAACCCTAGCTCCCGCCCGACCCTCCTTTGAAAATCGCACTTGCTAGCATCGACGAAGCTGCAACCTGCTGCTAAGTCCCTAACATCCCCTAAGGTATGGATTCGAGCTACTTGGCTCCAATATACATTAGGGGCTTAGAAATTTGTACGGCTGTACCTCGAATCCGGCGGTGGGAAGAGGGGGCAGGTCCCGGAGGAAGTCTGCGGGCTTGCGCTTCCCTCGGCGCATCTCCTCTTCAACGAGGCGATCGACCTCCCGCTTCACTGCTGCATCGCCGTAGTCGCCGTCGATGTAGGGCAGCGCGTCAACGGCCTCCGCGTCCGGCGCCGCAGGCTCGGGCGGCGGCGGGGCCTCAAGCATGAGCACCTCTCTTGTCGCCGACGAGGCCATCGAGTCAGGCTGTAGAGGCACAGACGAGAGAGAGGGAAGCTGTCGCGTAGGCCGGCGCGGAGGAGGCGGATGGAGAAGCGGAGGTGTTGGGATGGAGATGGAAGAACCGCGGCGCGCGTGGGCCGTTTGGAGTTTTGGGCTCAGCCCGGTTCGAAAGGCCCGTGTCTATTGTTTTTTTTTTCTTTTTTCCGACAGAGAGGACCCGTGAGGGCCCTATCGACCGCTACAGTTCATTTTTTTCCCCGACGCATTCACCGTCCCCTACACTGTGAGACAGAAGCTCTTGTTTCTCAAAAAAAAAAAATGTTGACAGCTCTTTTTTTTCTCTCCTTCTCTCATAGGGCTAGAGCCTGCAAGAGAATGAGAGAGGAAAGATAAAAAGAGCTCATGTGAATAGTATACGAACATGAATGCGTTAGAGAAGTTGGAGTCATTGGGGCTTTACCAAACGGGGCCTTAGCCGAAAGCCAGAAAGTGAAGTGAACAGTTGAGATCTGCATCAAATCGTTTCCATCTCCTATTGTCCATTGTAAATGTACATTGGTCGCTAAAGGTGGAAGCTCCTCCATTATCTTAGGCCATGTTCGCTTAAACTTATCAACCATAGTACAGTGTTTTCTCTCACAACAAATCATCGAACATAACGAAACGAACAGGGCCAAACAAAAAGGAGAAATCAATTTTTGGCCATCTCGTTATTGTCCAAATTTGTTTTAGCGATGTAACGACAAAATCAATCTTTGGCCATCGAACTATCGGTAGAGAACAAATTTGACCATCTAGCTGAGTTAAATATGTTTTTTTTACAAAAATAATAAAAAGTGAGTTTGTTTTGTAAACAATTATTACTAATTTAATTCATATTAAACTAGAAAAATATAAACCAATACCAATTTTTTCTAAGGACCACATATGTCTATTGGGCATTGGCACTCTATTCAGAATTAATGGGATTTTGTTTGTTTCTATGCCTATAATCACATTTGTTACTTATTAAAACTATCATTTTTGCATTATATTGTACCCGATATGGACCACGAGAATTCACAGCGAGCTATGAGTGAAAGTATCTAGGTCCCTAGTTGGATTTCGGTGATTAATGATAATACGAGATTACTATGACTAACATATGTTTTGCAGATGCAATTTAAGTTAGGTCATGGTAATGGTAATTGATTGGGCAATCATGGTTGTCATGCCCCTACGATGGAAATCGTTTCGATTTTCAAAGGATGGACAACAAGGTTAAAGATGGACTAGTTCTAAGTGTCGTTTGGTGTTGAAGAGACACTTAGAGTAGTTTAGGACTTTGTTTTTCCTTTGGCCGTACTATTAAGAGGCTATGGACTAGTAGCTTGACCTAGGTGAGTCTAGAGGGTTAGGTGTGGTGCACACTTATCAAATCTAGCACTAGATAGCTTCGAAGTAACCCTAAGATCAATTGGAGCAAACTTCATTCACATATGATTGTGAGTTAGAAGTGAATGGAGGGTCAAATTACTGACGGGGCACTGGTCTGGTTGTGACCAGATCGCTGAAGGGTGAGTCCGGTCAGTTCATTTGATCAACTAGAGCCATCTGGTTGCGATCGGACGCTGAGTGAAAGTGACCGGACATTGGGTGCCAGAGTCCGGTCAACTCTAGAGAGGTTCTAGAGAGGAAGATTCCTGATCGGACACGTCCGGTCAGTGCTGACCGGACACTGGTCAGGAACCGGTTACTGACCGGACGCTGAACCGCGAAGTGACTGGACTCTGGATTTCAGTGTCCGGTCAACATCAGTAAGGTTCCAGAGAGCAGATTTCATGACCGGACGCGTCCGGTCAGTGCTGACCGGACGCAGGTCAAAGTCCGGTCACAACTTAACGGCTCTTTGGCGGGGACAACTTACCGGAGCGTCCGGTCACCTTAACCGGAGCGTCCGGTCACCCCGCAGAGTGCTGACTCAACCTCCTAACGGTTCGTTTTGAATGACAGGGTATAAATACTTCTCTATTCATTCAAGGGAGGTCTCTTGCCCATTTAATAAGCTGAAAATACCTTAAGAGTGCCAAGGAGAGCAAGAACCTAGTGAGGTGATTGAGATTTAATAATCCAAGATTAAAACCTCATTAGTGCAAGGAGAGTAGTATATGTGCATTCACCCTTTTCATTAGGCTTGTTGTGGTCAAATGAGAGTTCGTGCTTGTTACTCTTGGTGATCGCCATCACCTAGACGGCTTGGTGGTGATTGGGAAGTTTGATGATCATCCGGCGAAGCTTGTGGATGACCCAACTCAAGTTGTGAGCGGTTGTGGGCGATTCACCGCGACAAAGTGTTAAAAAATCAGCCTATAGAGAGCACTTGATCCTTACGCGGATTAAGGGGAGCTACACCCTTGCGCGGGTGCTCCAACGAGGACTAGTGGGAAGTGGCGACTCTTCGATACATCGGCAAAACATCGACGCGTTTCTTCTCCTCTCTTTACTTTAAGCATTCCTAGAATTGCCATGCTAGAGTTGCCATGCTAGAGTAGGATTAGAACTTATGTTGCTAAACTTTTGTGCGGTAGATCAATAGGAACACATTCTAGGCACAAGGGGTGAAGTGGGCTAAGTGTAGGTTTTAATTATTACAAAGAATTTTAGAATGAACCCAATTCACCCCCCCTCTTGGGTATCTTGATCCTTTCAATTGGTATCGGAGCCTCGTGCTCGTTTAATTAGGCTTAACCGCCTAGAGAAAGATGTCCCACGGGGATGGACCTCCTCCAATCTTTGAGGGAGATGATTTTTCTTATTGGAAAATCCACATGAAGGCTTACTTAGAAGCCTTAGATGTTGGAATACTTAGAGCCGCCTCACAAGGCTTTTCAAAACCTAAGGATCCCACCAACCTTCAAGGCAATGAAGTAAATTATGAAAAATAAAATGCAAAGGCTAGAAACACCATCTTTAGAGGCCTTTGCAAAGATGTGTTTAATCGTGTGCGGAACCACAAGGACGCCCAAGCACTATGGTCGAACATTTGTGCGCTCCATGAGGGAACAAAGAATGAGCGTGAGGAACGCTATCATCTTGTCATGAAAAAACTTAATTCTTTCGAGATGCTTCCTAAAGAAAGTGCAAATAAAATGTACTCACACTTAAATGTTTTTGTAGAAGAAGTCAATGGGTTTAGACTTACACAAATACAACCATCCAATGTTGTAAGAAAGATCTTGAGTGTCCTCCCATTGATAAATATGGGAATATTGTGGTCGTCCTTCATCAAGGTGATCTTTTTACCGCTATACCAACTCAAATCTTGGAAAAGATCAACGCACATGAGATATATATGCACATCACACCACAAGATGGCTCATCTTTCACCAAGAAGAAAGACTTGGCATTCAAGGCTAGCCAAGAGAAGGGCAAAGCAAGAGTTGAATATGAGAGCTCAAGTGATGATGAAATTGATGATGCAAGTTTTGCTCTCATGGTGAGAAGAACCGTCAAGATGCTTAAGAAACTCAACAAGAACGGTGTTAAGTTTGATGGCAAGAAAAAGAAGTTCTTCACTAGCAATAGAAGAAAGTCAATCTCCGAGATGGATTGCTATAATTGTGGAGAACTTAGTCATCTAGCTCATCAATGCCCCAAGCCAAAGAAAGATAAATACAAGAAGAAGAACAAGGGCAAGAAAGATGACTCAAGTAATGAAGATGAAGATGAGAAGAAGAAAAACAAGCCATACAAGAAGAAGAATGGCAAGGACTTCCACAAGAAAAAAAAAAATGACAAGGCATACATCATCGGTGATTGGCTCATGGATATTGATTCATCAAGTTGCTCATCTGATGATGATAGTAAGAACGAGAAGGTGGTCGCTATTGTGATTGACTCTTCATCATCTTCACCAACACCACCGCCACCATCCTCTACACACCTATGCCTTATGGCCAAGGGTGAACGAAAGGTATCAAATGATGATGATAGTAGTGGTGATGATCATGCTAGCAATGATGATAGTGATAGTGATGATGAATTTGAATCATCTTCATATGATAATCTTGTCAAATTGCTAAATCAATACACTAAGATCATTAGAAAGACAAGAGCTAAGAATAAAAAGCTAGAACTTAGGAATGACTCTCTTTTAGCTAAATGTGACATAGCGGAAAAAAGCTAGTGTTGAGCTTAGAGAAGAAAATGAAGCTATGTCATCCAAACTCAAGGAGCTCAAATCTTCTAAGAAGGAGCTTAAAGAAAAACATGATAAACTAGAGAGGATACATAATGAGCTCACCACTAGCTACAATATGCTAAAAAAAGAGTATACCAACCTTAAGATTAATCATGATAATATTGTTGTCTCTCATGAGTTTCTATCCAATGAGCCACATGATGCTACTAACCATGTTGTTAAGATTGATATAGCTACATCATGTAATGATTTGATTATTGAGAGCATTGAGCAAGGTTCTAGTAGCAAAGGCAAGCAAGTGGTTGAGTCCAACAACTATGATGAGTATGTCAAGATCAAGAATGAGAATGAGAAGCTTAAGAAAGATCTTGAAAAACTATCAACCATCAACACCATTGTGATAGAGACTCTTGATTATGTTGGTGATTTAATTCTTGAGAATGAGAAGTTCAAAGAAGAAAACAAGATACTCAAGAAGGAGAAAAATCATGATGAGCTCAAAGAAGAGAACAAGAAGCTCAAGTTAGAAAAAGAACATCTTAAAACTGGGTTGAGCAAATTCATAAGAGGTTAACATCTTCAAAGTGAGCTACTCATGAACACCATCACGAAGATGGATAGAAGTGACATTGGATACTTGGCAAATCAAGAAAAGAAGGCTCAAGCTCAACAACAACAACACAAGTCAAAGCCAAAGCCAAAGGCAAAGAGGTGTTTTGAGTGTGGACAAGAAGGTCACTTTGCCCATGAGTGTCAAACTCTACCACCACAACCCTTACCTAAGCATGCTAGACCCTTTGCTTTTAATACTCATTACATGCTTAGGAAGGACTCT